GCTTCGATTCATCCACCGTCCCAAATCCTAAACTCGAAGATCCAGTCCTCCTTAAACTTTACGCCCGAGACTTTAACCATTCGTTCGTTGTAGGGCCTTGTAGGGTTAGGGGTTCGTTGTATACGCGCTTATTCAGCTAGCCCTTGCATAGACATGAGCTTGTCATTTGGTTCAGTGTTAGGGGTTCAGACGCGGGGCTCTTCAAGAGGGTGGTGCTGTTTGCTTTACTGTCCTACTTGTTGTGGTCGTCTGCAGCATGGGCAGGTGTATCAATGTGCTACGAAGCCCTAGCTCCAAACCTTGAGCACTATGTGGGATGATAGATGATTAGCATGGTGTTGCGGGGTAGGTTGTACCATTGCTGTATATGGGTGTCTGGGATTTACCTTCAGGGTCGGGACTCTAAATCTTAAGCCCGAAACCTTGCGCACTCAGCCCTAAACCCTAACTCGCCCGCCTCAGGTGAGGTGACTTGCAAGCCGGGAAGCACACCTAACTCGGCCACAATGATTTGCGATGGCAGTGGACACCTGCATGGGACTCTCCCGCGGCCGGGACAAACAGTTCATCTAACATCGACTCTTCAATGGGGTTTAGGGTTTCGGGTCTAGGGTTTTGGGGTTTAGGGCTTTAGGGCTTATGCTTGCTTTTGCCGTGATGCACAATGATGGCGGAGGCTTTGAGTGTTCGGAGGATGTGCTGGCAATTTGCAGCTGGAGTTGTCCTTAAAAGGAGGTTCGGGTTGACTTCCACGTATCACTCCTGGAACATCAACTCCAACTGGAAACCCGATGCCATCCAAAGCCCTACGTCCGAAGTCCTTCCAATCCTAAAGCCTACAAATCCTAAACCCTAAGCCCTCAAGAAATATATTAATCGAAATTGTGTGTCTTTGTTCACTTTGAGCCCTTTTAAGCGAAAACATGGAACCCCCGCCGGGGCTGGGAGGGGAGGGCTGGGATGAACAAAGACATGCAATTTCTAGCTCGAAGTAACGAGGATAAGGAGATGTGCAACACGAGAAGCGGGCCCGAAGGGACTGCCACCACGCTGAAGATGCTTCTTCAGCTTCCGCTCGAGTCTGTGCCGCAAGGGAGTCCTCGTCTTCATCCTGAGGTCCTGCGTGCCCGCTAGGATGCAGGAGTATCTCATAACACATCACGCAGGGCCATCGCCAATCACAAGTGTCCTCCCCTGGTAAGGCGATTCCGCCTGCTCGATGAGTAGCCCACGCACAATCTGGCCAAAGAGCAAAGGCACGCTGACACACAAGGGCTACCGGCGTCCCAAGGCACAGATTTGAACACTGTATGGGGGGGCGACGACCTGCATCTCGCCCCAGCACGATTCGCTCCCGAGGCAGCCAGATTCTGGAACTGGTACAGGAAACATGACACGAGCGCTTCTCTGAAGTGCGCCTTCCTTATATCTTCGGGTACAGCGCAGGCTCTGGCTCCAGCACCTCTAAATTTGAGCACCATACTGCGATGCGGTTTCTTCCCTGTTTCCAGGGGGTACTTCCAGATGAAGTCACGGGTACAGTCTGCAAAATTGAGCACGGAGGCAGAATCATCAAGTTCTCCGTGGTTCGTGTCCCCAAGACCTGCCCCGACTCCACGTCGAGAGCGGGCCGTGTGCTTCCCAGACCTTGCCGACGGACGAAGGCCAGATGGTTGGGCAAAGGTGTTTCTCTAAACGTTGCATCCCCGCCTGAATGTGGTATTCAATCTGTTCGCTCACGTGCTTGCGCCAGAAGTTGCTTTCAGTTCTTGCTCGTGCGTCAAGCCGGTATAGCCGGTCCGCATTATCATTGAACAGCGCTGGACGATCCCTGCCTTGTTGCATGTGATATCGCAACAGTCCTGCGCAGCAGGAGAGCCGATGCGAACCGTACTTTCGCGCTCTCTCTCTCTCTCTCTCTCTCTCTCTCTCTCCCTCCCTCCCTCTCTGCCACTCGCTCTCTCCTTGCCTGTCTTCGCGGGAGATTACACCCGCTGCAGGCGCTCCACCAAAAGCCGCTAGATGTCGATAGTGCTGAAGGACTGTCGCGGGAGGCTGCCGTGGGCGATCTTGATCCAAGAAAGTTTCTGCATAGAGAAACCTGATCGGCAAAGACGCCGACTCAATGCAGCGCGCCAGATGCCGAACAACGTATGCGAATACGAGCCTTTTGACGAGCAGATTCGCTATGGGGTTCAGAGCGACAGTGTTGATTTTGCTAGGGCCCTAGCTATAGAAACTTGAACTGCGGCCCAAACAATGACCCTGCGGTGTGGTCTGACAAGCTGGGATAATGCCTTTTGATCATAGTGTTCAACCAATACAGTATCGGCTTACCTTCCTACGACCCCATGTCATAATGCGGTCTTTAACTGCGAACAGAAGACAACATTAAGCAAAGGGTCGGTCATGCTATGGCTGTATACCTCCGCCAGCATTTTGTGCTGGTTGGCGTTTAGGAGATCCCCCGTGCGGTGTGGCGACAGGGGCTGGGGGCTGGCGCTGGGCTGGGGTTGGGCTGGAGGTGCAGCACTTTCACATTTTCAACAGTTTTCAAAACGTGTCGCTCAAAACGTTCTCGGCACCCAAACCCTTAGCACTTTCTCTAGAAATTAACCCAAACACGCCCTACAAAAGCTCAGATCTCAGGGTTTGCAGACCTGCTCTTTGTCCGGCCAGCACGGCTTTGGAGGAGACCTTTTGGGATCTGACCGTTCGTTGTTGTTTTCGTGTCTTATTTGGGGCTTAGAATTCAGGTAGGCATGCAAGCTTTCGGGTTTCATGTTTACAGTAGGGGCATTTACAGCAAGTGTTCAGGTGTTTCTCACCTAGGTGTATGTAGGCTTTGGGGTTCAGGATTGGGCTTGACAGGACATTTCGGGCTTAAGACTTGGCTCGAGTCGACGGTTGTCTCGTGATTAGGGTTGCTAGGGGTCTCGCGAGTTGTCTCGGGAAATCTGGGGCGTCACAGCTAACCCCATTGCTTAAATCCTAAACCCCAAGCAAAAAACTTAAGACTTTCTGAGGCCCTTAGTAGCTGCGTGAGTACACTTTAACGCTATTTTTTGAAATGAACCGCAGTGTGTAAGACTTTCCCGGACCGCATTAAACTCTAAACCCTCAACAATCCGCCTACCGCAGGATCCGTCGCTGGATCACAACTGTCAGGATGTCCCGTTCGGACGGAGCTGCAGCGTGTTCTGCGCGGAGGGGTCTTGCGGGCATGATTGAAAAGGGGTGGAGGGTGTTTCGGGTGTTTGGCTTCCATACTGCCCCTTAAAGGTTTCGCGCGAGTTACCACTACCACTACTACTACTACTACTACTACTACTACTCCTCCTACTCCTTAGGGTTCCTTGTTCTGACTTTTGTATCAACTCTCCCACAACCTTGGGTTGGGAGGTGCAGGGAAAGGGCGCAGAGCTTACGGTCGAGGGAAAAAGCCTTCGGGTTCGGGGCTTCCATTGGGGATGTAGCATGGAGGATGCGGAAAGTAATACGGTTGTGCAGGCTGTGCGGAAGAGACGTGTGTCTGGTGAAGTGAAGTTCCCAAGGGAGAGAGAATCCGCAGCACAGCCTTGACCACTCTTTCTTGAAAACCCTAAACCCTTCACCCTTCTTGAGGTTTTGGTGGTTTCGGTGGCCTCTTTGGAGGGAACCTGCGTTGTGCCCTTGGTTTGGCTCCCAAGGCTTCTGAACTGAGCTGGGATTCTAATGGGGAGGAACACAGGATTTGCTACAGGGCTCATCCTGACGGTCGCTGCAAGTAAGGTTCTGCAGTGCAAGAGTCCGCGTGGCAGGTATCAGCTCAATGGAACTGATTTTGGAGAGGCGGGCTGGGATGAGGAATGGGGGGAGGGTTTGTCCTGCTTCCTGGTCAGTCGTGAGTCAAGACCCAACACGCACCCCAAACTCCCATCGGCTATACATATACTAGAGGTTGCCCCAAAACAAAAAAACCTTCTGCTGGTCACAAGGTTTCTAGATTACACATTCTCGGGGTGATACACCCTGAGCCCACGAGGGTCAAGAGACTAGGCTTGAAGGTTCAGGCTTTGGGATTGAAGCTTGCAAGATTGCGCCGGTGACGACTTAGGGTTTAGGGCCGGTTTAGGGTTTAGGGTTTAGGAGACCCCGTCTGGTCAAGGTTCTGGGCTTCGCGGCCGATCTGTAGGGCTCTCAACCCGAAATGCCTTGAACCCCCCGTCGGCCTGAAGTCCAAAACGACCGTCCTACCACCCTTCACCATGCCCTGCTTGGAGGTTCATGGGTAGTTCGAAGTGGCCCTCTAAGTAGGGTAACTATAGTGAGAAACCCAAATTCGGGGACTTAGAACCCCACTTATAACTACCCATGAACAGCCCCAAGCCCGACATCCCTTCTCCCGAAAGCCTCGACCCAAAAGCCCCAAACCCGACGGCCGACAGGTTTGGGACTGTGTTCTCGATGGTTCTGGTCAGCCAATCCTTTCAGGCGTGATCCCACCTTGCAACGTGGCGTCCAACGGGGGCTTTGGGCTCAAGGCCAAAACCCTAAACCGCTTGGTCCACACCCAAAGCTCTACACCCACAGCCCTAAGCCCAAACCCGGTTAAACTCGCCCGAGCGTGCTTGAGCCCCTCCACTTCGATATCGCTTGCCGACCCAGAACTTTTCAACCAAGCCGGCATGCTTTCTGGTTGGCGCAGTCGGAAGCGTTTTTTGTAGACTTGCGGTGATAGCTATTGGTCGGTCGATGAGTCCTGCCTTGGATCTGGAGCGTGTAGGAGCCCACAAACCTGAACAGCCATTCTTCACCACCCGATACTGTAAGCCCCCCATGCTGCCCTTTCAAGGGCTCCAGCGTGATTTGAGTAGCTTGTAGCATCTCTCACCCCTGAGCCTTGCATTCCGAGCTCCTGAAACTCCAAGCCCCCTGAGGCTTAGATTGCAAGCCCTTACGCCCGAAACTCTTGCACCTTCCCAAAGCCCCTAAAGCTCTAAAGCCTCGTGCGTGCCAAGGTGAGCGCATTACTTGCGCCAGCCTGAGCCAAAGCGACGTCTTGGTGGACAACTGCACGAACATCCCAGCCGGATCGCGGGGGGCCCCGGGATCCCCAGGTTAGGGTTTAAGGTTTAGGGTTTAGGGTTTAGGGTTCAGGTTTGGGTCTTGAGTAAGGGCTCGTTGGGATTTATTACGGTTTAGGAACGGTTTGAGGTTGCACTCTGCAGTTTAGAGTTGAGGACCTGAGGATTCTAGGGGTGTTCGGGGCTGGCGATAATATAGAAGCCTACATAATTACCTACACTATTTTGGGGGGTTCCTTATTATAAATATAGTATAAAGGGCCTCAAAACCCTATTCTAATTACTGAGGCCCCTACATTAGGCTTTGGGAATCCAGGGTTCGGGGATCCCAGAAGGTCGTGATGGCTTGGGGGTTTCGTGCTGAGTATACCCGAAGCCCTGGACGGCTTGCAAGTCCGAAGCCGAAGCCATAAGTAGAGATCTGAAAGAATGTCAGCACACGCTCAGCAGCGTGGACTCAAAGCCCCAAGCCCGGAGCCTAATAGCCTCGAGGATGTTGTGGGTGAAGGGCAGGAGTAAGGCTTGATGGCTCTCCGGGTCTACAGGGTCCATCATGCTCACGAAGTGTTCGTGCATGCGGGAGCCTTGGTTTCGGCAATAGCATTGGTATTGATTAGTGCAATGTTCTGTGCGACAGTGAGTTTAGATCCCAGGTAGACATGCTGCTAAGCTTCTCTGGCCACCGGCACCGGCCTGCCGTCTATGACGAGCTGCAACCCATTCCGGGCTGAGTTTTCAATAAAGCTACAGGTTTCTTAATTCCTCCTGCAGGTCTTCCCTGAGCCCACATTCCAAATCCATACCCCTTCCCGCACAGAAATGCCCCCACGCGGCTTCCACAGCAGAAGGTTTGTGGATAGTTTTAATGTCCGACATTTTGCACCTTCCATCAAATCCCGTACATTCCTCGACATGCACAAGCCGGCAGCCGTAGTTCCCGAAAAAGCCGACTACCTCCCTTCGGTGGTAATAGACCCTCAGCCCTAATTACCCAAACCCTAAGTCCACCTAGACCCTGAAACCCTAAAGTATCGCCTGCGTCCGAGGGCCTGTGAGCAACGCTGCCAGGAGGGGTACGCACCGGCCACGTGGCGACTGTTTCAGAAATCTCCCGTCGCTTACTCCGTGCATACAAACAAGTCCAGTATGCAGACGAGCGAGCAGGAGAAAGTGGGACAGATATCTTACCATGCGGGACAGCGCATACAGGAGAGGACAGCAGAGTGAGACAAAGCGGGACGAAGGGACAAAGCGGACGAGCGAAGCCGGAATCCTTGGTTTTCCCACGGTGTGTAATTTCGTTCGAATCATTTCCCGGCTGCTGGCCCTTTGTGCCAGCTCAATGAAGGCGATTTTCCGAAATGACCTTAAGGTTGTTGTGGTGTTTTATTCTTCCATTGTCGTTGTTAGTTTTGTCAGTTTCGCATTGTTTTCTTTGCAGCGAGGAAGTGATGATTACACAATGACGACCCGGATGATGGCAAATGATCAACAACCGCTACAAACCCTATACTGGTTCTTCAGCCTCTACAGGCAAGAAAAATCATAGCCTTGGAAGCCAAAAACCGCCACCGTTCCTCCGTCTCCTTTCGATAACTTGTGGAGTCAAGCTGCAGCTAGTAGCAGAGCCTGGCAACACTCTTTTGCAGGTCTTTTGAGCGCAGTCGAGTGCAGGAGCGTTTCAAAAACGTGGGATCTGCATTCGGGCTGTAGATGTGGGAGCAATGGAACACCCCAAATGATTTCAAGGATTGAGCAGACCTAGCAAGCTTAGCTGCTAAACTCGAAAATACTGTTGAGGCCGAGTCCGGACGTTTAGTAGGATCCAGGATGCTGTATCTCGGGCTTTGAGGCTTGGCGCTTAGGATTTATGAATCCAGGGTTTGGGGCGTGGGGTTTGGACTGTAAGGTCTAGGTCTGGGCTTCCGGGCTTGAAGGATTGTTTTAAGACATCAGGTCGGGGCCTGGGTTTAGTGATGCAGGGTGGAGCCTGCAGGATGTAAGCTTCCGGCGAGCTAGAGCCTACAGTTTAGGGTTTAGGGTCTTTATCTCCCTGCATTCAACATGAGAACTGAAGCCGGGGGCTGAAGTTGCGGAGTATGTATGTTTACGATTACGATTCCTTAAGGCTCAGTCATGGAAGGCCCTCCATGAGCCAGCTCTCAAAGATCCTGGTCCGATCGTCTAAGCGTTTACACTACGTTCAGAATTTCGGTAATTGGGTTCCCTAACGCCTGCACCTGATACCTTGAAGGGGACATCCAAAGCAGGCGTCCGAAATCCTGAGCCAAAACCCTTGATGTCCTGAGCTCCCGCTTGTCGAATTGCAATTTTACTGGCTACGGGTTCGGGCTGTAACCTTTTTCCGGAATGTGAGGTTTGGGGCTCCTAAACCCTGAAACCTAAATGGCCCAAAATCCTTGATCCTAGACTCAGGTATTAAGACTGTCCGGTTTTAGGCTCAGGGTCCTGCAAGGATGTCAGCTTTAAGGTCTTTAGGGTTTTATGGTCTGTTGCGTTTGGCGATTTTCAATGGTCAGTGCTCATGTTTCAGATATCAGCAGGGCACTGGGCGGGCTTCAAGGCTTGACTACTGTCTGAGTCAAAATGCTAAAGCTTGAACCGTGTAAACTTTTGACCCGGTTTAGGGTGGAGGGTTACCTGCAACCCCTGAGCCATAAGCACCAAGCCGAACAACGAATCGAGTCCTGTTCCTAAAGCCAAGGTCAATGCCTCCGTCGCCGTATACACCTGCGACATGTCCGGTCAAATCGCGAACGACGGCGCAAGTGTATTCTGCGCCTCTGATGGACCTTTGCAAGAGTTGGCGCTTCAGTTTTTGAGTAGCAGGTCATGAAGATGGGGACCTCGGTATACGAGTGTTGCATATAATGTATATCTGCAGTTCTGACCCTCGTAGCAATTGTAGATCTACCCCAAGCACCCTATACTGATTAGCGCCCAAGCGACCCTGCTGAAATCTCAGACACCGCCAGTAGAATCCGGGAGTGCGCCAAGGGCAAGAGGTTCGGAGGTTTTTCAAGGCCGCCCGTAGAACCGAAGCCCTTTGGTAGCCAAGGAAGCATCGATCCTCTAGACGGAATCTGTGGTCTAGGGTTTGAGGGTTGGAAGGTCTTTTTGGGTTGGGAAGGTTGAATTGAAGGTTCAGCATCGCTATCCGGAAGGGGTGGTATGGTATGAAGGCCATCTCACCGAACGAGGACCTAGCTAGTGTAGCTTTCAAAGGGAAGCTGCTTGTAGTAGTCTCGTCGCTAAACACAACATACTCATCCAGCGACGCCTCTTTAAGCCTCATTAAACCCAGACACCGAAACACCTTCCTCAGCTCAGTGCGAGGTGCAGCCGTCGCCTGCAACACCAGCGTGTCACTTCAGAATGTGCTGCACACCTGCGATGGTGTGGGCCGGTGGCAGCCAAGAAGGGGCTCCATGGAGGGTTTCGGGTTACGGTAATTGTCCTGAAATTCCCTTGCCAAGAAGGGACCGTCGTGTTTAGGCTCCTTTTTGCAGGACATGTTTTCGTTTTTTGGGAGCGTAAATCTGTGCTTTAGGGATTCGAGGTCATTGCTTCTCAAAGCCTCAACCCCTTTACTCTGAGAGGAGGCCCTTGCTCACAGGTCCTGGCAAACCGCTCCTGCTATGCCTACTGCCGCGACGGCTTCGAGCTCCAGCAGAATGAGGCCGCAGCCACCCAGAACCCCCCTCTTCCCCCCCAAAACCTGGAGCTTCCTCGTATGGATCAGATGGGTAGTTCTCTAAATTAGGGTCCCGTTTAGGGTCTTGTTTATCAGGGTGCCGTACTATATTTGGGACCTGACAAGGAACTTTAATTTAGAGAACTACCCCTTTGCCTAGACATCCTGCTTTACATCCTCGTCACCATAAGCCCGAAACTTTCAAGGCATGAGAGAGTCTAGGTGGTTGCCGTAGGCCCTGAACGCAAGGCTCCCTTTGACTTGATCAGGCATAGTACAGCTTTTCCCCACTGAGCCCCACGTCCTTCCCGAAGACATGCCACAAGTCTGGGTGTAGGAACGAGGGATTAGGACTTGAGAAGCTGGCATTTTTGGGGCTCGAGGAGGGGCGGGTTTGTCACCTGCACTGTTGAGACTTATGTCCGAATTGTAACTTGACCTATGACAACATTGCAACTGGAACGGACACTAAGCGCAGAAATCTAGCAGTCCAGGTGAGGCAAGTGCCTTCTTCAGGGGCGTGTACACTATACTCGTAGTTAGCATGCTACTCCTTAAGTTTCCTTGTTGCAAAGAACAATCTACCTCCCTAAACCCCAAAAGCCTAAACCCCTAGACCCTTATTCCGTGCCTATAGATCCTGAAAGCCTTCATCAAAAGGCCTGACGGGTAAAAGCATCTCCTTACAGTCCATATATTAAGTATAACATTTGACTTCCAAACCTTGGAATCAGTCAGCCCCTGGTGGTTCCCGTACTTCTGCGCTTGACTTGATGCTTCCATTGACCCAAGTGAAGTCCTGAGAATTGAGACTCCAGACATCTCGTCCAGTCGTCTCAGGCTTGTTCTGATTCAAAGGCATGCAGACTTAGGTTTGATGGTGTAGGGTATCACTGTTTAGGCTGTTGGGGTTTCGGGCTCAAGCCTTAGGATTCAACACTGCTCGGCTTTCTGGTCTTCCCTCCCCTTGAAGCGAATTTCAATCAAGTTTTGCCAAGCGGAGGTGCCAATGTGGACATGTGCCACTGAAGCCGCTGTGCTAATCAGCGGCCTCAAGCCGTGTCGACACGTTCTCAAGCACCCTAAACCCTAAACCCCAAAGCGCTGTCTTTCAGAGCTTCGCTGTGTAGGGTTCAGGCTTTGGGGTCGGGCGCCCGGCTGAAATAAGGTTCATGCGTAACATTCCGACGTCGCCTGAAGATTTTGGAGTCTGGTGTCTCCGGGTGTTGAAGATTCTTCTGGTAAGGGAGGGAGCTTGAGCTTTTTCATCCTTGGTTTCGGGACTTCGGGGTTTCGTAAGGAATTCCGGAGCCACTAACCCTAAGCCTAGGCCTTAGAATAAGGCATCGGGCATACATTTGAGCAGTGCTTTCCTGTGGGGCCATGGGAGCACCCACGAAGTGAACAAGCAGTGCACAGGGCCCGGTTAGGGTTTAGGGTTTACTGTTTAGGGTTTAGGGGTTTAGGGTTTAGGGGTGTAGGATTTAGGGTCGCTTATGCTGGTTGTAGCTATTGAAATGGTCTTCTGGTCCAGTGCAGGTTCGGCCGTATTCCCAATGTCCGTTAGCTGTCGAAAGCCGTCCCTCCACAGATTCAATTCCCGAAACGTCAACCCGGATTTAAACCCCGTGCACCTATTCCCGCCCTCCCAATATGTACTCCAAACCCTCAGCTTGACAAGCCCAATCCCAGGCGCCCAAGATCAACGAGTAAGCCTCAAACCTACGTCTTAAGCCCCGAAGCCCCTAAAAACCCCATAAAACCCTGCAGTAAGCCTTTAGACGCCTAAACTCCAATTCCAAAAAAGCCGAGGCCAGTGGCCTTGAAGCCGTCAGCGACGTGCCTGCCATCGAACCTGGGCGCAAGAAGCGCGTCGGGGTGTACAAGGGCTTGGGGTGGGGCAGCGTAGCCCAGGGTTGCCTGTTTTGCGTTTCGGCCTTTCACCCCCCTTTTAAGGTTTTGGGCCACTGGCCTCCTCTGACTTCTTGCAAGACAGAAACTGCTGAAGCCTAACCCTAAACATGAATTCCGAAACCCCAAACCTTGAATCTCAAACGGTTTGAGATACAAGGTTTGGGGTTTAGGGATTTGTGTTTAGCTCTAGACCTAAGACCCTACATTCTTAATCCTGCGCCGCTTTGCATCGACAGAACAAGAAAGGATTTCGCTGCTTGCAGACCACGAGGCCTTAGGATGATCTGAGTACTCATCGGGTCGGCCGGTTGGGGCTCGAAGGCGAAGATAGTACCGTACTTGAAGGGATGTTCAGGTTCTAGAGTATTTGAAGGGGGGATTCGGGCTTCAGGGTTGAGAGGCTTTGAAGGTGGATGAAAGTTTAGGGTCTAGGGTCTGCGATGTGGAGCTTAACTTAGAGTGTTGAAGGGGGAGGGGTGTTAGGGTTTTGGAATGGGCATATCAAGAGGAGGGAGTTTCAGAAAAAGGGAGTCCTGTTGCTTATTGCCAACCCGAATAGTAGATTCCCCGCTGTTAAGACCAACGAGAAGGAGCTCTTCCTCCTAGGAACCCCACAAGTGTTTATAGGATTCTGAAAGCATCACGGGTGGTATGAAGGCTTCAGCTGGATGAATGAGGGATGTGAAGCTATGTGAAGACCAGATGAATCATACTCTGCTTTCTGAACACCGTCCTTGCAGAAAGTGCGATTGTCTCCCTGAGCATTTGCGACTTTTCGTCATGACTCAATCTCGCTTCTTAGAGGCTTTTGGATTTCGGTGTCTTGGGTCCGATGGTTTCAGGACTGTTTCAACCCGAAGGTTGGCGGGAAAAACGGAGACAGCACCACCATCAACGTGCTCGTAGCAGATGATCCTAACGAGAGCAGTCGTAGTCAGCATCATGAGATTGGGAGTAGATGATGAAGCAGCAACAGCAGTCCTTGTTTCAATGAAGGCAGATATCCCGTCCTCGCAGTATTCAGCCCACCGGTGAGCAGTGTTAGAAGCAATGTGGCTCGTGTTACGGAGCAGGAAAATTGAGTAGCATCGATAACCAAACCAGGAATGCACAGCACTGGTAAGACAAATGTCGGCAAGCATCGTGTTTCAGACCCAACCCTTACCCAAAAACCCAACGCACTCCAGAGCCGAAGCCCAGCGAAGGATGGATATGCTCTCCGTGGTGTGCTTCCGGTGCCCTACTTGCACCACCTGTCTTCTCGCCGAATCCGAACCCTCCAACACCCAAAGCCCCACAATCCGACACCCAAAGCCCGAAAAGGCCGCTAGACCCCTGAAGAAACCGGCCATCTACGCACCAAGAAAACTTTCTAAGCCTTTAGTTTCCACTGGAGGGACTAGGGGCTTGGGCGTAGGTCTAACGAGAAACATGTACGGTGGGAATTGTAAGGACCTATGAGAATAAGTGGTTCAGACTCAATTTTTGCCGGCTGGGGTTTACCAGCAGCCTGGCCTGAATTTAACCCTAAACCCCTAAGCCCTAAATGGGGGCGGGACATTGCAGGGCCCCGCCAGCTTGAACCGCAAGCCCTGGCCTTGAAGCCCTGGAAACGGCTTAGATCCCAAACCCAGAGCGCCCTGAGGTCTGTGTGGCACTACCCTGCCTCTACAACATTCCTTTCGGCTTCGAGTATGTTCACAACTGCGACTCGACGCTGCCCCTTCTCAGCACTTAGCCCGCTCAGGGCCTTGATTCCTTTCCCGTGCTATGTAGAGCCCTCACAGGCCCGGTTCTGGCAGCCTGGCTCGGAAAGAGTAGCAACGACCATTGCTATTGGTTCTACAGGTGCGAGTGAGTGCCTAGTGCGGTAATTGCCCGCCAAGCGTGGAGTCCGCTCGCGCAGCGTTCATTTGCAAGTTGTTGTCGTTGTAGCAGTCGTGGTGGTGGTGGTGGTAGTGGTGGTAGTAGTAGTAGTAGTAGTAGTAGGCGTAGTAGGAGTAGTAGGAGGAGGAGCCGAGATTCCCGAATCCAAGGCAAGAATCTTGGGCTCAAAGCAGCACCCCGCACCCAATCCTAACCACCCACGGTTTAGGGGTTTAGTAGGGTGTAGGGTTTAGGGCGTTCGCCTGCCTAAATCCAACTCTTCGCCGTTTGACAGACAGAAACCCCTAAGTGCTTCAAACCTCAAGAAGCCTCCCAGGGGGGCCGAAAACCCAACCCCTTCAGCCCCTGAACCCATTAAAAACTAAATCCCAAAAACCCAAAACCCTCAACCTTAAATCCCTGAGCTCACAACGATAGATCCCTGCACCCGCAATGGTAAATCCTGAAGCCCACAAATCGCAGAAGGACGGACGCCACGTGCACCGTGGCCTGTGCTGCGGGCTTTGAGGGCCCTTCTAACATCTGGACTTGCCGCCCGACCTGGATTTAGGGTTTAAACTTTCAATTCCTAAACCCTAAACCCCTAAACCCTAAAGTTCAGAGCAGGGTTTAATGTGCAAGATGCAATGTCTATAGTCTATGGTCCAGAGGATATGATTTGTGCTTCCGGCTTTAGGGCGAGCTTTGTTGGGTAGTCTTACAAGTTCTTTGCCCACATCACATGAGCCCGAACCGTAACCGCGTCCACGCCTTCATGGTGCCATTGTAGGCTTTACCCATTTGCAGCATCATGTGCCTTTAGAAACCCTCAACCCTAACCCTAAACCCCACAACCGCCCTCCTTTTGTATGAGATCCCGGACAAGCCTCAGTTCAGAGAGGTACTATCCCCCCACAACCCTAGTCTAATTCTAACGGATGGGTTCAGAGGATTCCGTTCAGAGGGTGCTGCTTGGAGGTGAAAGGTTCAGGGATCCAAGCTTCAGTGTTTCAGCTTAAGGATGCTGCCTTGAGGCATTGGGTTTGGGTGTCTGGGGTTGAGTAAACCAGCATGGAACCGTGTTCGTTTGGAGGATAACTGAACCCTAAACACTGCAACCAAAACACACATTTCAGTCGTTTTTGGAAGGTTCATGTCGGGTATTTCGTGCAAGTATCCGGGGGTGAATGTTGGTGTGACAAGCAGAGGTTCCAGAAGAAGACGTGTTTAGGGTTTCGGGTTTAGGGTTTAGGGATTCGGGTCTTGCAGTTCATGTATCGTCTTGTAACAATCATACATGGGCGTCAGTCCGTGTTCACCACTAGAAAGATCAGTCCAACTGCCGACACCCCCCAAACGGAGCCCAACCTCTACCCTTATATCTTTTCCTGTCCCCTGAAGAAACCTGGGAGACAAAGCCAAGCCCTTAAGTCATCTTAAGTCTGTATGCTGGACTCTTAACCCTGGATCCGAAGACCGTGGTCGAAAAGTCACAAAGCCCGAGCCCCATGCAAGATCCTGATGAGAAAGCACCCGTCTTTGCTTTGAGAGCCCCACTGTTGATGATATAAATCCTGCATGACCTTAAGGAACCTAAACTACGGAAATTATGGTATATTCTTTATTATGGGTAATGCAGGATTTATATCATCAGCCGTATCACCATAGGTGTCGGAAATGAGGAGCCGGCATTGGAAACCTCACCCACTTCCCAGAAGCATCCTCAATACCCTGAACCCCTAAAGGCCACACCTTAAAAACCCCCTCTAAACCCTAAACCCTAAACCCAGTTGAGCCCAGGCCAACCAGACGGACTGCTGAATGGCTCTTATCCGGTATGCCTGGAGGTGAGGTCCCCCAGTTTGATGGTTTGGGACTCAAGTTTCGGATTCAAGGAGCTCGGCGTGCTGGATTCAGGGTTCAGACTGTGGGTTCAGGGTTTGGGGTTCTTGGGGGTTCAGGGTGTTCGGGAGCTGAGGAGGGTTCGGGCCTTACGGTGCAAAGGGTTCAAGCATCCAGTTTTTGATCGGGTTTGGGGTCTACAGGCTTCACGGTCTAGGAATTCTGCCTGAGGCCGGTTTTGCTTGGAGGGGTTCAACTTGGGATGTTTAGGGTGTCTCTCTGGTGTAAGTAGGGGATAGGGCCTGGGTGTATCCTGGAGTTGTATCCTGGAGTTGGAGGTCAGCGTCATTTCTCGGGCTCAGGGTTTGCCACATCTCTTGGAGAAGGCATGGAATTTCTTTCTGTAGTATACTTGGAGGATCACGAACTTGTGTCATTGTGCCTCGCCCTAACGCCTAAACCCAAAACCGTTGTGGACAGAAGTACCCCTACACAAGTTGCGAACAACCCGAAAGGATGGGCCACTGACCGAGTCAGTGCAAACGAGCGAGTTGATCCCAAACACAGACTCGGTTGACGATCATATTCATGAAGTCCCGCATTCCCACGCCAAAAATCCTACAAGTAGACGGCAAACCGTTCGGTAAACCCAGCTTTAAGCCCCAAACTCTTAGCCTCAAGAAACCCTTGAGCCCAAGGTCTCCCAAATTTCAGCCTTTAGGGTTTAGGGAGTTGAGGGCTTTTCCGGGAAGCCAACCCTCAACCCTAAACCCTAAACCCTATACCCTAAACCGTAAACCCTAAACCCTAAACCCTAAACCTTAAGCCCTAAACCCTAAACCTCATAGTCTTCCAGAGCTGAAGCCTTGAACCGGAGATCCTTAACCCGGAGCCAGAGACCCGAAGAGGAGCCCAGAAAGGAACTCCTTAAAGGAGATCTTCTGGGGCCTTACTAAAACCCTGAAATCCGAGACCTACTGTTGATGCTATAAATCCTGCATCACCTTAAGGACCCTGAACTGGGAATTATGGTATATTCCCTATTATGGGTAATGCAGGTGTTATATCATCAACCCTATACAGGGCTTCATAGACTTCAGAATGCTTATAAAGGAGAAGGGGCCCTACAAGGGTTGTGAGGTTTTGGCGTTTCGGGTTTATGGTTTCGGGATTCTGGGTCTGGGGATTTTGGGCTTGAACTGTCCCTGGCTCTTAGAACGCAGAGGCTCAGAGGGTCTAGCGCGAAGCCTTGATTCGGAAGGAGAAAGGCAGGAAGGGGCCAGAAAGGAGTGTGCAGGATTGAGGTCAATACATTTGTTCATGGTATTTGCGTGTGGAATTGCGCAGGTCGGAGTCCTCAACTTTAGCTTTGAAGCGTTGCGTGAGTGAGTGTGCGTGTGAGTGTGAGAGTGAAAGTGAGAGTGAGAGTGAGAGTGAGAGTGAGAGTGAGAGTGAGCGTGTGACGGGTGTGTGTGTGTGTGCGTTTGTGTGTGTGTGTGTGCGTTTGTGTGTGTGTGTGTGTGTTTGTGTGCGTGTCCGTCCGTGTGTGTGTGTGTGTCTGTGTGTTTGTTGTGTGTGGGAGTGGTTGGACGTTACTGGGGTGTTACCTTGAAGAAGATTTAGTTTGTGTATAGGGCATATACATTTCTCCGAACCTTGCAAGTCACTGCCGTCATATGTGGAGGACCAGGGGACGTAGCACAAAGGGTTGTAAACCTCAACCCTACCCCTTAGCATCCAAAATAGCCCGAAAGCCTTACATAATGCGCTCTTTGGGCCCAAAAGTCTTAGAATATGAGTCCTTTGAGGGTAAGGGTACTAAATCAATCCTAACGCAATAATTATATGTAGTCGGAACAGTCCGCAACAAGACTCCCATTGTAGCCCCTGCACAAGTATATTCTGACAACAATCGGATGTGCCCCGAAGCCCTATTCGAATCAAAAGGTCCCTAGAACCCGAAAGCCCGAGCCCTGCGCACAAGCATTTTTGTCATGGCCTGCTTGGCACGCCAAAACCCCTAAGCCCTAAACCCTAAACCCCAAACCTCAAACGAAATGTCCCCAAGCCTGGATCTTCCTATCTCCAAACACTAGCTCAACAATACCCACCTTCGGAAATTTGGAGTTTTAGGGCAAGTGGGAGTTTCCGAAAATTAGGGGTCCCTTATTTTTGGGGCCCTTATAATAAGGATCCTACTTTTTGGGGGTACTTTTTCTATTAGGGTTCCCCCCTATTATCGGAAAGCCCCAAGTCAGACCGAGGCCAGTTCCTGGCGCCGCTGCTTTGCTGTTGTGGACTAGCGGGCTGCCCACCCGGAGGAGGGACGAAGTGCCTATTCTGCCCGTCAGTCGGACCTGTTAAGCACATGCATGAATACTTACTTACTTACTTACTTACTTACTTACTTACTTACTTACTTACTTACATACTTACATGCGTACATACTTACATACGTACATACGTGCATACGTACTTACATACATACATACATACATACATACATACATACATACATACATATGCATACATATGCATACATATGCATACATACATACATACATACATGCATAGATGCATACATGCATACATGCATGCATGCATGCATGCATACATACATACATACATATATACATACAATAGAGCCTATAGACCCTAGGACCTTATAGTCCCTAGTTCAGGTGCCATGGAGGTAGTGGAGCTGCAGCTTCGGGCTCTTCAAGAGAAGCTTGTCTTTTGAGATAGGGCCTCATTGCCCTCAGGAGTTATGTTGTAGTTGTCTGAAACTATAACTCCAGGGGGTTGATAAGATTTGTTTAGTCTGGTTCTAAGGGCGGCCAAGAGGGCCTCTTGCATAAGGTTTAGGGTTTATACGCTTCAAGACGCAGTTCGGGTTTAGGGGGTCCTTCTGCCTTATGAACCTATAGAGCCGTCAGGGTTGCCCAAAACCCAAAACCCTTGCAGGGAAGCCCAGAAAAGTTGGAACATGGATTTAGGACGATTAGTGCTAG